GGAAGCACTAAATTAAGTAGTGTCATTAGCCAATAGTACTTAAGAATACAGGTTGGTATCCAATGTCTGGGTTCAAATCATTCAACATCATTTTGGTTAAAGCACGACTTTGGGTGAGTGCCATCACCTTCTTAGATCAATGTCTTCTTATTATAAGGCTACAAAGAGGATTAGACTCAAAAGTGTCTCTGTGAATGAAATGAGCTAAGGTATGAAAATTGCTTAGTGCAGTGTCCATCTGATAATTTTAGTGTTAATACCAGCTACTGCCATTAGTTCTGAAAACATGACATTTCATTACCACGTGAGAGACTGGTATAGAAAGCCTGTGTGGAAACACAGACCACCTTCTGCATGGTGTCCTCCCTTCCCCAATTTAGTAGTGATTGGTAACTCAACTGATAAGTCAACCTAGTGGGAGTCCTGTGGGCCACTTTTAGCACTTTGACTTCTGTAACTGCCTCAACCCTCATATTTGTTCCATTACAGACCCTTTTTGGTGATATTTCATGTCTGTCGCCTATATGACAATACCACCCTCATCCTTAGGCAGGTCCTCACAGAGCCACACTGATGGCTCAAGATCGCTCTTAACTGGTCCCCTTGTTTCCTCTCTCACTCTTTTCTAAATCAGATCATAATCCCTTTCTAAGCCTCCCTCCTACTCTAGGCAAACAACTAAACCCAAATCCCAGAGGCCTTTTGGACATGAGCTCTGCCAGCTCTACACTTCTAAGTCATCTCTTCCAGCAATGCAAACCTATTCCCCAATGTCCCTGGTCTCATGACCAAGTTTAGAATCCTTTTTTTTTTTTTTTTTAAAGATTTATTTATTTGTGCATACAGAACTGGGGTACAGGCCAGAGGCTCAGGGGCGGTGAGAGGCTTCACCAGAGACAGAGTGGGGAACAGAACAGGCAGATTGACGAAGTACACTGCTGAGGGGAGCAGTGGGCGGGTCAGGAGAGGTCTGCCACGCCATGTGGTCTCCTCCGGGGCAGGCGGGAATCGAACTCATGCGGAAGCAGCTTTAGATTCTCAGTGCTGTGCTTTAACCCGCTGTGCCACCAGGGAGGGCCTTAGAATCCTTTTTTATCCATGTCCTGAAGAGTTACACTCATGCTTCAAATCTAAACTCCAAAGCATTTCCTGTGGAAAATCTCTGTATCTAGGCCTGGATTAGTTGCCCCTCCTCAGTACTCCCACAGCACCTTTGTTTACAAGATCACAGGGCAACTTTTGGTTTTCATGTCTATCTGCCCCACTAACATTCCTGAAGCAATTTATTTGCTCATTTATTCATTCATGTATGTCCATATTGAAAAATGATATGAGAGCTGTATGGGTAAATGGAAGGTAGCTAGATGGATGGATAAATTAATGGATAGGTGGACAGGAAGGTGGATAGATGAATGGAGGATGGGTGGATGAAATGATAGATTGATGGTGGCTGGATGGATGGATAAAGGAATGGTTGAATAGAAATTGGGTGAATGGATGTTGAATGCATAAATGAATGGATAAATTTGACAAAGTGACAAAAATGTCTAATTAGTTCCTATACCCAGGTCCTCCTTGAAGGCCCTCAGCACACTAAAACAGTGCTATAAGAAAATCTCTCTTTTGTGCAGCATTCACTGTTCAGACTGAAAGGCAGTGTGACTTTCAACTAGCAACCAATGGGTTTTTGACCTTAATATTCCCAGTTGTTCTAGAAGAAAAGCTGAAAAGGAGTGTTGATCCTTGAGAGACCATCAGTGACCCAGGAACCTGTACTATTTGCTGAACCCCTCTCCCTCAGGTGAATACCCCTATGGATTTTGTCCTATTCTCGATCCAGTCATCACAGATTTGTCTCCAACTTGAACTCTGACAGGGTATTTCCATCTCTGGACTCAGGGTGGAATAGATGGTGTAAATGATGGAGGACACCCTGGCCAGTCTGCAGTCCACTGCTTACCTGTCCCTCATGCCTACTCAGGAGTTCTTCCAAAGCAGCCACAGAAGTGCACCTGTGCATAGTGGATCCTTCATCTGCTCTTTGAGGAAGACCTTTCGGGCCAACTCAGTCACAGTCAACTAAACATGCATAAATCCTGGAATGAAATGTAGTACGATCTCCTGTGACTGAGAATCAGTATGAGGCCCGCCCAAGCTGCAGCAGAAAGCCCCTTGAGGCTTTTGGGAGAAGAGCCCAACCCAGCTGCCCTGGAATCCTCACTCAGGGTTTAGGAAGCAGCAGACAGAATACAATTGACTAAATTTGATTGTGTTTTTATTTTTGTCCAGCCATAAATACCGGCAAAGAACTAAAAACCATTCCTTCCCTTCCTGGAGCCTTAGAGCCAAACTGATTTTATTTTTAGTTTCAACTCTGGCTGAAGACTTTTAGCAGGCTAAACACCCACCCCACTGCAGGCAGTGCTGGGCCAGATTCTAGGATTTTTGCCTAGTCTGGAATATTGGTCGTCTAAAAGTAACTCTTGCCAGGCTTTGTGCAGCTGTGACAGTAGTGGGTGGTTCCAGACAGCCCCACATAAAGACACATTTCTGGCCTTAGGGACCTCCAGGAGAGTCCTTTCAGGGAGGGAAATGTATCAGGATAGTTGTCTGGCTTGAGGTGGAGGAGGCCAGCAACCCTGCGCAGAAGGAAGTAGAGGATGAAAGACAGGGGAAAAGGGAGAACAACTGAGAGGCTTCTGTTAACATAATGGTCTAACTGGATTCAGAAGCCTGGGCTTAAGTCCTTCTTCTGCCCCTTCTGACACTGTGGTGGTCTCGGGGAAGGTGCTGAACCTCTCCAGGTACTGCCATCCTTATTTGTGTGGGTGGGAAATAATAAGGTCTGCCTCACCAAAGCATAGCCTCTGACATGCACTGAGGACTCCACAGCACCACTGTTGTTATGATTGTCATGCTCTTCTGGCAGTGCTAGAAATGCATGCACAAAGTGTATCATTCAGACTTACCCTCACCCAATGAATGGGGTTATTTTGCCAGTGAAAAACTGAGGCTGCAAGGCTAACTTCTCCAAGATTTCATTGAGAGCATGAAACTGATCTGCCCCTGAACAACCCTCACCTCACCTGAACAACCCTCACCTCACCTTCTCTAGAACCAAGACTGCATTGACTACATGGGAACTGCCCTAAGAGAGAAACTAGATCCCTCCCCCGTAAGCCTACCTCCTGTTTCCTGTGTTCCCCTCTCTTTTCACTAGTGGGTTCTGGGAGAGCCCTAAAGAGCACTGGTCAAGTTCATGGAAACAGACACTGAGATGGTAGCTGCTCAAGACTGGGGTGAGGGCAGTTAGGCAAGGAGTACTCGTTTCATGTACAGTGTGCCTTAGTTTTACAAGATGAGAAAGTTCTGGGGATCTGTTGCCCAACAACATGGATTTGCTTAACCCTGCTAATTGTATACTTCACGATGGTTGAGATGGTCAAGTTTATGCTGTGTGTATTTTTTTTTTTCATTATAATTAAAAAAAAAAAGCACTTGTGTGGGAATCTGGGTTGGAACAGGAATTTTGAGGCTATTCTGTGAACTTTCTGGCATTTTCTCTGCCCTCCTCCTTATCAGGAGTCTCACCTACAGCCTCCCTGAGCCACATCCACCCACAGGCTTTGGGAATCCATCAGCGCACTGCTGACAGGAGGTCTTATATGCTCCTTATATGCTTTGCCCTTTTTGACCTTGCTCTACCCCTTCATTCCTTTGACATTTTTATCCATCAACCTTGGGATGAAAGGAGGAAAATAGAAAAATCCCATCTGAGAAATGTTTCAACTTAGTATTGAGGGAGTGTCTGGCCTTTGAGGCCAGGAACTGGGAAATTCACATCTTTCCTTCAGTTTGCTTGGCTCTAAGGTAGGATAATACAAATTTCCTATAGAACCATACATACCAAATTCACTCTAAGTGGAAAAATTCTGCGAGTCTGTAAACTGTTCTTGTGCTCCAAGAGATTCTGAGAAATAAGATTCTGGAAATTCTAGGACAGACGATTTGGGGACATTGGGCTTCCAGTGATCAGCCTGCACCAAGGCGCTAGGGCAGAGATCATGGAACAGGGTCCCCCAAGCCTCCACTCCCACAGAACAGCCTTCATGCCTCTATGTCCTATGAAACCTCCTGCTCTTCTTTCCTGTGTGTATCAGTACTGACCATTCTCAGGAGGGCATCTGATTGGCTCTGTGGCCACCATTCAGTGTGGGACATCCCTGTTGAGCCAACTTTTACCTCCAGCCACACCCAGACCTTGATCCTGACCTGGGTCCCACTAATCATTAGGCACAACAGAGGCAGTGCACACCACCAGCATGACTGAGAGGCCCCATGAATATGTTTTAGTATATTTTAAAATTAGAAGGAAAAAATAAGCTTAAATAAATGTTGCAATGTATAGTAGTATAATAGCTTTTACACCAACAGTTGTAAAATGTATTATTATTTTGAGTGGAGGAAGGAACCCACAAAGGTCAAAATGCCCATGAATGACACCTTGAAGGCCTGCTCTAGTTGATGAAACAAGATGGCAGAGATTGCCTTTTGCCCCTTAGCCTATGACTCCTGTTCCTGTGGTAACTGGTATCATTCCTCCCAGCCACCACCATCATTTAGGATCTGGAATATTCTCTGTGGCCCTGTTTCTTTTGGGGAGCCCATTTCACGTGCCAATTCTTTCACTTGGACATAGCTAGCTGGAGCACACAATAAGGAAATTTCATAAGTCTTGCCAGAGTTGCATGGGAAAGAACATTGTGGCCAATTAGTGATGTCTGTCCTAGCTGGTGACAGAGCCAGGGCAGTGGGCATGCTGTGTTCTTGCTTATGGCTGACCTTTGCCTTCTGCCCCCAATGTGTGCTGAGTATCCCATGTTGAAAGGTCTAGAGAAACTGGTAATGCCTATTGATTGATGGATGGAAGACCTGTCTGAACACACTGGATCCAATTTAACCTCCCTTTGACATCCTTTCATTTTCCTTTTCATCTTCAGGCGCCTGAACAAGAATAAGCTGCAAGTCCTTCCAGAATTGCTTTTCCAGAGCACACCAAAACTCACCAGACTGTGAGTAGAATTGGATTGTTTTTTCTTACCTGACTTTGGTGATGTGGTGAACGTGATTCCACGGGTGCAGAGAGCCTGGAGCCTTGTGGAGCTTGCTGGTTAGGCAGTGTTGTGGATATGGAGGCAGGGCACCCACATGGTGGGTCCCCACCTCCCTGCTACACACACTGTCTTGCTCCCTTCCTTGGGAGATCAACGGCTTAAGTGTCCAGAGAGGGCTGGCTACTCATGGTAGCACATGGCTCCTTTGCAAAGAAGGAAGAAACTTTCATTAATTTTGTGTCTGACCTGACTCAGGGAAAAGCCCTGAGGATGGGATCTGGGTCTATCCTCAGAGACTACCAGTGGTTCGTGCAGAGGGCATTGGACTGGACATTTCAGCATCAACACCCTGCTGGTTTAAGGAGTTCCTGCCCTTTCTCTGATTTTTACCGTTGCTGGCATGAGGAACACTGGTCTGTCTAGAGGACTATTATTTTTGTGGAGAAAGGAATTAACACCTTGAATTTCACTTTGTCTTCTGGAATGGTCAGGGATGTGACAGTGGTGGAGAGAGCTGGAGATGCCACTGTGCATTTATTCAGTGTGAGAGTTTGGAAGCTGAGGAGCCAGAGATGCACGTTGGAATAAAGGTTGTGATTCATGTATTGGGGGTGTTAGGCAAGTGCTAATTATGAACAGCAACAACTCTGTGATTTTGAACCCACAGTCCTGTTGGCAGTGACTAGTATAGTTCATGGGGTGGGTAAGCTGGGTTGCCCAAGGCTTGACTTTCTGAATGGAGCGAAGCAGTGTGCTTAGCAGTCATGTGGGAGATTTACAGCCCAACTAGGAAGACTCTTAACGTGGCTGGGGAGGCTTCAAAGCCACGGCCACCACGCTCATTACCAATGGTTGTGTTTAATACCTACTTATACACTCAAACAATGCATGTAGGCTCTGGGATAAATTGGAAAATCGGAAACACATGTCAGTGTGTGCACTTAAGAATGAGTCACAGTGGCCTTGCTTGTCTTCTCTAAGACAAACCTGTACTTAGTCAAGATTTCCTATTGCTAGGTCACCTGGCTGACTTTGCTAAAGATGGGAGAATATATAGCCCCCTTTACACCCTTCCCTTCTGAACCTGCCTTGCTGGGCAAAGGTGCAGTTTGGCAGTTTGGCTATCTAGTCAAACTGCGTGAGCAATGCCAAGTGAATGCAAAGACACCATCCTGGCTTAGAGCTTCCCCTTCCCTGTTGCGTTCTTTTCTTAGATGCTCATCTAGTAGCTGCTTTTCCACCCAGTACCACATTGCACCTTTTGAATCTGCTCTTTACTAAATAATGCAGACTGTGTTTGCTTCCTCTGGAATCTCAGCCTACCTTTCTTGGCAAAGTTGAAGGTGCCAGTGGGTTGGGGCTGTTGGAAATCTTGGGGCAGAGAAGCTTGAGTGTTACTCCTGCTGCAGGACCTCGGGGACTGGCCCTTCCTCAAAGGAGCCACGGCCTTGCAGCTGTTTGCCAGCAGTCACCAGGTGATGTCCATTTTGTGCCGAGTTGGCCAGATGCAGTAGATGGGGGGGGGGGGATTTCAGACAGTAAAAACAAGTTGCTGAGCTGCACCTGGGCATGGGAATCCTTTGACAGTCATTTGGTAAGAGCTTGGTAGAGTTGCTTTCCCTTCTGTGCCGAAATATGCTCTCCGGTAAAGGGGAGCTGTCTGCTCCTCACTCCACCTGACCTTGCTCAGGATCCGTGACCCCCATGGAGTCCACGTGATGGTGTGAACGTTTCTAGGGTTAGAAGTGCTCTTAAGTGGTTTCACCAAAATACCTAGTGTTGTCCCTACTACTCCCATTGTCACAACCTCAGTTGTTGTGAGGTTCAGTTGTTGTTCAGTTTCACTGAAGTAAGTTATGCTGAGCTTTTACTTCAAGCCAGAGATTGTACTGACCAGGTAAATAGGGCTGGCATTTGACTCATTTTGGAATCCATCCTTTTCCAGGTCCCCAGTGAGGCACTGGATCTTGCACACACAGACACCCAGAATAGAGATGAATAAATATGAGGCTTGAGGATATAAGTGGTGCTCTTCTGGAGCTTTGGTTCTGTTAAGCACTATTCATTTACTTAATCATTCATTCATCCATTCACTCATTCATTCAAAAAGCTCTTTTTGGGTGTTTGCTCCTGCTTGGTCAGTGTGCTGGGTCTTGAACTGCATGAAGGATGCCCATTTAGCCACGTGCCCATCATGAAACATTCTGAATGACTGCCAAAAAGCTGAGAGCTAAATATAATTTTCTTTTTATTGAAGCAGCTCTATTAACCCAGGTTTGGGTCATCATCAGCATTCCTTTTTTTCTCTCTGGGCTTGATCTTTGATTTTTTCTTAATGGCCCTATTGTGTCTCTGTCTTATTGTGTTAGCCACTCTAGGGCATTTTTGGAAATAAGCAAGGTACAAATTAGAAATCAATAAAAGTGCAATCATGAGTGTGTATACATGTGCCACTGGCTCTGCTTTAAAAGAGCACTGCATCTCATAGGCCCAGCAAATTGTTTCCCCAGGGGTGCCCATGGTAGGTGCAGTGTGTCTGTCCTCTCCTTAGCATGCCATGTGGGAGGAGCAGCACTCTGGACATGCCTTGTCTTTCCTCACTAGATATATAGACAAAAACTGCTTCATACTCAGTGTCTAGCCAAAGAGTAACTTTTATAAAAGCTAAGACATGTAATAAGATACCTCAAAACCTGATGGGAAAGGGAAATAATATTTATTGAGAACCCATGCAATTATAATAAAAACACTAAGTAGTAAGTGAAAGAAATGTGACCAAAGTCAGTTGAACCCCTCAAAGGAAATCTATTAGTTCATATGACTGAGAGGCCCAGGGACAGTAGTGGATGGCTTGGTGGGACCTCATCTTGCTCTGTTCAGCCCTAGGAGCAATGCATGTAGGAGCAGCAGAAGCCTAAGAGAATATTCTCTCAGCAGTACAGGTGGAGAGGGTATCCTTACCAGCGTTCCTGTAGGGAGCGTGCTTATCGGCTTGGTCACATCCATAACTGAGCGATTTACTGTTGCCAGCAAGATGGTGTCCCCAAAGCAGTCAAGTTGGTGTCAAGTGTTCATCCACTTACTTGAGTAGGAGGGTACACAGGACCCAGGAATGCCTTTCCCCAAGGAAAGTATAATTCTAATGCTAAGATTTAACCTTCCCAGCAATCCTGCAAAAGAAATCTTTATTCATGTATTCCTAAAACTTAGAAGGGCTATCTAACTTACCCAAAGTCATATGACCAGGGTAAGTGCAACCAGGATTCAAATGTCTATGTTTTTGCCAAGTCCTTGAGTTTTGCCCAGACCCCTGCCACACTAACTGTTGTGGACAGCTGACATGCTAACAAGGATTGATAATGGACTGGTCACAGAGCCAAGCTCTTCTCTCAGATCTTTGCTGGTTACCTCACCATCATCCATTCTCAGTGCTGGCATTATCAGATTCATTGATCAACATGTACGGCAGTGGTGTGTCTACCCTCTTAATCACATTGAGCTGTTTTCCAGCACATAAAGCACAGTCCATAGAGCTTGAAAGTGCACTGAGATTTAGCTAATATTGGTGTGGTCTGTAAAACACCCAGCAAAGTGTTTGTCCTGCCTTGGGCACTTACTAGATCCCCTACCCTGATTTGGATCCTGGGGTTCTCTAGGTCAGGATTGTGTTTCTGCTGTCTCTGCATTCCCTAGGGCTCCTGACGCAATCTGAGCATAGGATAAGAAGAACATAGGAGGAAGCATTAAGGGGCTTCCAACTATATGCTATGAGCTAGCTATTACCCTCTTGGGTCTCAAGTTCTTCATCAATGAAATAGACAATAGAACCTATTCCCCAGTGGTGTTGTGAGTTTTAGTGGACATAACCCAAGGGCATAGCTTTTAGCATGGATGAGATAGCACTTAGCAAGTGCTCGGTTAAAGGGCTGAGCCTATGTGCTGACTTAGGTGTTTATTGTGCAAACATCAGCCCCTTACAGAAGAGCTCAAGCCCCAAAATAGGTGAGGACTGTGGGAGTACTGCCTTTGGGGCAGGAAGATTCCTGTTCTCATACTAGCTTTTTTCCCCACAAGCTATGTGGCCTTAGGCATGTTACCTCTCTGGGCTTTACTTGTTCCTCTATAGAGGATGGGATGGAGTGCAGACTGTTACATAATCTGTAGGCTACTAATGTCTCCTTTCTTACATCCTCTTTCAGCTTTACCTTTCAACCTACGTGTGTGTATGTGTGTGTGTGTGTGTGTGTGTGTGTGTGGTGTTTATGAGAGAGAGAGAAAGAGAGCAAAGGATTTCAGGTAATTTGGAGATTAAGTGGTTTATGTTGCCAGAATTTTTCAGAAAAAAAAAAAAAAAAAACAGAAGGCAAAAAACAG